TTCCCCTCAAACGTTCTGTTTGCAACAGAAAGATCCTACTGCAAACGAATGGTTTGTCCTGCCGTGCCACGACACGGAGCCATTGACTCTTCTCCTTCTCCTTTCGTGGGGCCGCGTGTGCAGGACGTCCCTGGGGTGCACTATGGTCTTTCTGTTCTGCTGCCGAGCGCTGATACCCATCTTGTAGAGCGCGGAGAATCGAGGAAGACCTGTGTAGCCTTTACATGTGGTTTGATTAACTAATCAAAACGTGCTTAGCACCTTTGTTCGAGGGGGCTGCTGATTAATCGATGACTATTGACTGCAAGCGCGACTCCATTTTCTAGCAGAGAGAAGTCTGCAGACACCACGCGTAAGCATCGAGCAGCTGTCATAGCGGGAAAATTTATTAAAAGCAAATGCATTATTTTTATGAAGCGATCTTGAAATGGGTCACTGAAGGGGAGCGTATTGATTGAAGAAGGATGAACTCCTTGAATTTCTCTAGCTTAAATTAGACCAAATTCAATTACAGTGTGACAAACAGGTTAACACCATTCTTTAGCGGCCCATCGATAAATTAGAGTAGGGGTAGCGCGCTTAGTGCTGAACCCCGGTAGGAACAGTGTTATCATTCATCCTGTCGTGTGCAGGGTAGTGCCTCCTGTCCTCCCTGGTTGTAGGTAGTTTGTGAAATAATGACAGAAATGCCCAGGAAAACCCCTCCAGACGTCTCTTGTGGGAGCGCGGCGTTTACTGACCGCCGTAGACGATTGCCAAAAGCTGCCTAAGATAAACTGGGCCACAAATGGTAGCGGGAGGCGTCGCGGTGGCAACGCTGCGGGTCGCTTTGGCACGATCCCTCGTGACGAGCCGGGGGGAAGGCTGGCGTGCCGGGGTCTTGGAAGCGGGCAAGTGGCTTGATGTCATCGGTAAATTACGGCCAGTTAATGCAATGGGAGCCGTTTGCATGGGCTGACTGTTCAAAACATGAGCAAGAGGGAAGAAAGGGGATTGCTAAGTCACAAGTTCTTCCAAGAAATGAGGTTAGGTTTTCTTTTCCAACGGCCTGTCGTCCCAGGGGTGCGTTACCATCCGCGAAGCAGCGTGCTTGTCAGTGGAGTTAACGGCTGCACGCGTCCATACTGCCCGTGCCCTACAGCCGGAGCTTGCGGTTAATTTTCCCCAAAAACCAGAAGGCCTAGTGGGCAAAAATTCTGTGCAAGTGCAGCAGTAAATCCAAGTGCGTCAAAATTAACAGCCAGCCGAGGTGTTCACAAAAAGCTCCATCCATTTTCTGCTTTTACAGCACGAATGTGCGCGGAATACGCTCCGGCGCTGCCTGGGAGAGCCCAAACGCTGTAAAACGTCAGGGTACAAGCTGCGAAGGCGGAGGGAGGCCGGAGCTCGGCCTGTTTCCAGGCTCCAGAGACGGTCCAGAGTAACCGAGGTGTTTACGAAGGCTGCAGGAAGCTTTAGACGTGAGAAGCGGCAGGGTTAAACGTGGCGCGCCAGGTCGTGGTTTGGGCGCTGCGGTACCAACCAAAAATGAGCCAAAAAAAGAAAAAAAAAACCTAACAGAAAATCCCCAGTATTCAATCTAAAGGCCAGCATGCTCCAGTATATATTAACATCTTAATGGGAAAGCTCTGCATGTATACATTTACTACTCCCTGACAAGAGGGAATTAAATGTCAGAAGGATTTGTAGCATCTATAATTGAATTGGTGCTGAGAAAAGCAAATCTTAAAGAAGAATAACATATTAGGATTAGCAAATAATGTGGCGTTTTGTCAGCTCCTGCCATCTAGTCTGTTCCCTCTTCAGTAATAAAGTTGTGATTTCTCTTTTTAATCATAGATAGGAAGCGGAATAGGAGACAGCCTTTTAAAGCAGATGCCTGTTTTTAAGGTCAGGCCTCTTTCTTGGCGCAGATTTGGAGCTCTCCTCCGGGGCAAGAAGGGCTCCGGGGCCAAGCGGCTGACAGGAGGCAGGCGCGGACGGGTCTGCTCGTACACAGTGCTGCTATAATCGACTCATACGTGCGGCTCTCCTCGGGAATAAGCGCTCAGGGCGTTTGCACTGAGACATGAGGAATCGGGCCTCTCCGCTGGGAATGGGAGCCACAAATGAGCCTATTATCTCCCAAGGCAAAGGCGTGTTGTTGAGTGCCTCGCAGAGTTGATACGGCGTGGTCTGCACGGCCAGGCATCCTCAGCGTAGGACCTTTAATTTTTACTTAATGTATAAACCTGAAGGTGCATTATTTTGCACTTAATATATAAACCCGAAGGTGCCTTATTTTGGCATGCACATAATGAAAAGAACTTGCAGCTCGCACTTTGCAAAGCTCTCTTTTAATGGAAATAATGGTGCTACATGTCCTGCTGCAAGAAATCATATTTAATAACTCTCCCGGCCAGGACTGTTGCCCGGGCTTTGTGCAAACGTCCCATCTCTCGTCTCGTAATGTTGACTTGGTTGCAAATTGGGCAGGAACCACAGAGGATCTGCGAAGCTTGCAGCCCTCAGCGCAGTGTTGCAGATGATCCCTGGCGCGATTTGCTCTGATTGCTTCTCCGTACAAGTGCACTGAGGCTGCTGTCCCTAAGACGAGGGGCACCGCCAGAGCGTTTTAAATTTAGGGCAATTAATAGGAAGAAAAGAGCGAAGGCGCGTGGAGATGAGCAGCCTGCCCAGAGCACATGGGATGTCCCCAAAGCGGGGCTTTATTTATTTATTTGGAATGAAACCGTTTTAATTAAAAGGCGCTTTATAGGGCGCTCGGTCACGAGTTATTTACTTACATGCCTCGGTACTGAATCTTGGGAGAGAATTGGAAATATCGATGGAAAGTATAAATCCCGGGCTGCCGCTTGAAAGCATTGTATCAGGTTTCAGCTCAAAAGAGCACCATTACCTTTAGCTGTCACGGATCTGTACGCTTGATCGATAAACTTCAAATATTATTAGAGGTGGAGGCTTCGGAGATTTGCCCTGTTCTTTGGAGAGAGACGGAGATAAATCTTTCTTAAAAATTGACTTGAATTTGCACTCTTTGCTGAAATGCATTTCTCTCAGGTGTCTGGGCTACTGCATGCAGGACAGATTTATAGGCCATGTGCTTCTTGTAGTGAAAGATTTAAATGGTAAATCCTTCGCATATGACTTCACAAATCATGTAAAGTTAAAAGATTTTTACCGTTTCTGTTGCTGCTGTGCTTAAATTGTAAGGTATGGCCAGTAAATCATGTTAATGGAGGTGTCGCGCACGACGCGCCAAAAAAAAAACAAAAAAAGTGAGAGCGGGAGACAGACAATGGTTTAGCTTCTATTCCCAAATGTTAATGTATTAATCAAGGGGAGAATAATTGGTTCTTAGTACGTTATAAATCTCGGTTGCCACTAGGATTGCAGCGCGGCTTGATGTAGTCGCTTTCTTAAATTAAAATTGTTTACACTGCTCTGCATTCGTTTTACATGGGCATAGCTCATTCCGGGTTCATTGTGCAGTTGTTCCTCAGCCAAAGAAGTCATTCCTCTCCCGGGCGATGGCATCCTGAGGGAGAGATGCTTATAAAGGAAAATTAATCGCATGGCGAGGTGTTAAATAAATAAAATAAAGCGGTTGGAGGCAATGTGCAATTATTGCTCGCTATCTGCCTTTGAAGAGTTTCTTTATGCCTCGGATTAAGCGTTCTTTCTCTTCACACATCACGAGTCGTATCGAGCGGAAAAGGTTGTGTTTAATTACCGCATCCCGGGCGCGGGGTTTCCGGGGTGGGGAGAGGCTGGGGACAGGCATGAGGGAGCGTGGATCATCGCGCTCACGCAGCTCCTCGGGCTGCAGGGCAGCGCCAGGGCCCTTGTTATTATTTCTTGGCACTTTGATGGCTCGTGGTTCCTCCGCGCGCATCCCCCGCTGCTCCTCCCCTCCGGTGTGCGGAGGGGAGCGCTGAGGAACGCCCGTGCGCTGGTGCCTCCGCGTGCCCTCCCGCTCCCCACGCGTAGCCTAGTGCCGCTGCCGCTTGTAGCGCCCGGCCCTCGCGAGCCGCCGCGGCCGCCGCGCTGTGCCCGGGGGAGCGCCCGACTCTTGTTCCTCTTCTGATCTCAACAGATTCTCGTGCAGGTGAGGAAGGGGCAATACGGACGGTGGACCATGCGGTGGTCGGTGGCGTGGTGGCCGTGGTCGTGTTTGCCATGCTTTGCCTGCTCATCATTTTAGGGCGATATTTTGCCAGACATAAAGGTAAGAGCAAGCCCGCAACTGGGCAATGAGAGGCCTCGGCCGGTCGCTCCCTGCTTGCGATGGGGTCCTGTGCCACGGGGGGACCCTCGCGGTGCTCTCCAAAGCTTCCCAAAGGCCCTTGAAGGAAAAACCCCCCCGGAGCGCTGCTTGCAGACCCCGAGCACTGTGCGGGAGGCCCCGGCCCCGCTGCGCGCGCGGCCCTCGCGCTCCCGGCGCGCGTCGCGGCGCTCCCCTCCGCTTCCAGGTACCTACTTCACCCACGAAGCCAAAGGAGCCGACGACGCCGCGGACGCCGACACTGCGATCATCAACGCCGAGGGCGGCCAGAACAACTCGGAGGAGAAGAAGGAGTATTTCATCTAGAGCCGCCGCGCTCCCGCGAGGTGTCCAACCGCGGACAGCTACTGCCCAGCGAAGCCACAGAGACAGCGAGAGGGGAAGTTGCGAGCAGCTCGCGTCTGTACAGAGAGAAGCGACAGGGTGGAGAGTTGTGAGACCGGGAGGCTCCGGGATTTGCTGTGTAAAAATCTTCTTCGTAAAGTACACTCTGCTGTTCGACACCTCACCTTGTTTGGGTTTTCTTTTTTTGGCCAAGTCCAGCTTGGATTTAGTTTAGTGAAGTCCTTTGCAGAGAATTCTGTGCCTTGTTTTCATTTGGTTCGTTTGGGTTTTTCTGTGGGGGGAGGATGGGGAAGCAGAGGGGCCCGTGCGCGTCCGTTCCCTTTTGCCCTTGCGTTTCTCTTCTTTTCCTCTCTCGTTTCCCCTTTGGTGTCCTGTTTCTGGAATTGCCTGCTGGGACCCCTTGGAATAGCTTGGTTTCTCTTAAGGTTCGTTCCCCCTTCCGTTCCCTCTTCACCGTTTTCCGTTCCAAAGCCGCGCTCATCCGAGGAGAACCAGCACATTCTAGCGTTGACCGTTTGCGCTCCGGTGCGTCCGTGCTCCGTTTCCTCCCCTGTCGCGCGACGCCGGCATCGCCCCTGCGCGCTCGCGAGGGCCCGGAGGGACCGTCCCCGTCCCCGCTGGGGACCGTCCTCCCGCGCCCTCCTGCCGTGCGCTCGCGCGGGCCCTGCTGCTCCCCTAGGACAGGGACGTCCTCCGGGGCGCGAGCTGCGAGCGAGCGGGGTCTGCCCTGGTCACCCCCTTCTTCATGCGGCACTGGGGCTGGCGTGCCATGGGGCACGGATAGCGCAG